AGGAGGTGTGGCCTTGTTGGAGGAGGTGTGGCCTTGTTGGAGGAGGTGTGGCCTTGTTGGAGGAGGTGTGGCCTTGTTGGAGGAGGTGTGGCCTTGTTGGAGGAGGTGTGGCCTTACTGGAGGAGGTGTGCCACTGTAGAGGCTGGCTCTGAGGTCTCACACACACTCAAGCCATGCCCAGGGAGATGGCCACTTCCTGTTGCCTGTACATGATGTAGGACACTCAGCTACTTCTCCAGCATCATGTCTGCCAGCATGCCACCATGTCCCATGTGATGATAAAGGACTAAAGCTCCGAAGTGTAAGTCACCCCAATTAAATGTTTTCCTTTTTAAGAGTTGCTGTGATTACACAGCAACAGAAACCCTAACACACCCTGGAACTGGCCTTAGAGATGGCTTTAAGCTGTCACCTGAGTGCTGAGAGCCATACCCCATCTCTGCAAGGGCAGCGAGTGCTTACTCCCCACACCCCCTCCTCGTTTTAAGGTTGGGTTTTACTACTAGCCCACACTGGCCTCAACTTCCCTAGTGCTAGGACCACAAGTTGCACCACAACTTATCAGGAGTTTGTAGTCTATAGTGTGAGCATCCTAGCCATACTTGTGGAGCGGCTTCTTAGTGTGGTTTGATGTGCAGCTTCCAACAGCTAATCATGCAGAGCTCCTCTTTTTATGCACATGGCAGCCACATACCTTTGCAGAAACGCTTCTTCAAATGCCAGCTCTTTGCTTTATTGTATGTTTTGATTTGTTGTCTCGTGTAGCTCAGGCTAGCTTCAAACTATGTAGCCAAGGACTTGAAACTGATCCTCCTGCCTCTGCTTCACACATCCTGGGATTACGGGTATGTGCCACCATGCCCAGCTTCTACTGTTGTTATTTTTAAACGAAGCTATCTTAGCAATGAATTGCATTTATTTATTTATTTATTTTGAGGGGTTTTTTTTTTTGCTTGTTTGTTTTTGTTTTTTCAATAGGATCTCACTACACAGTTCTGGCTAGCCTGGAACTACATACACTAGGTGCCCAGAACACACAATCCACCTGCCTCCTGAGTGAAGGAGTACATGCATGCACCACCAAGCCCAGATGTTGCTTTCCTGATAGAGGGTCTTTGGAATACAAAAATAAGTTTCTTTCAATGAATTACAGCATCCCTTTCTTCGGTTCCTTGTGCTTTTGAACATGTAGCTGAGAAGTTACCCCTGGCCCAGGTGACAAAGGCAGTTTCTTCTGCCTTTGTTTTTCAGTTTTTATAGTTGTAGGTGCTCAGTTTTGACATGGGGTCTGGATATGTAGCTCAAGTTGGCCTTGAACTCCAAATCCTCCTGCTTTTGCCTGTCCAGTGCTGGCATCACAGGTGTTTGCCACTAGCTGTAGTTTTTACATTGAAGTCTATGATTCCCTTTGACTTAATTTTTGTCTTTGGCACAGGCTATGAATAATCTAGCTTGGAACGCTAGCTCATCTGAAGACAGAGGAGTCAGGCCCATGGGCTAGAGCTCAGAGACTGGGAGGGCCCCAGTGTTAGGTGAAGATCATGCCAGCAGGATGGCTTCCAATCGGACTTAGGCAATGGGAGAGGCAGAAGCAGGAGTCCTGAATGAAGACTGGCTGTTTATAAAGAATGGCACGAGGCTGGAGCATCCAGAGACAACTGCACAGGCTAGGAAGTGGCTAATGAAAATAACGACAAAAAGCACAAGGGAAGTGTAAGATCCAGACATGGCACTCAAAGGAATACAGACAAGAGGTAAGAGTACATGGCCAAGACCACCTTGACAAGCTGTGAGTATAGTCCCTGGTATTATTGGGCAGGTCACACAGGCTCTGAAAACACCCATTCAAAAGGTATTTGGGCAGCTTTTGGGTTTGAACGGCTTCCTTGCCAGTCTCAATGGTTCCAGTACATACTCACTACTCTTGGTTGGCTAGTGTAGTATAGCTATTTCCCTCCAACTGAAGCGCTCTCCTTTGAAAAAATAATAAGGGGAGCTTATAAGACTTAGGAATACAGGAAACCTACAAGGCTTAGGAAACTCCTGAAACAAGATTGACAAATCCCATCCCAAGGTCACAGAAGCAGCAACTGCTTGGGGAGACTCCAATCCTGCCTGTCATCATGCAAGGTCCTCACCCAAGCTGAGGTGGCCTTTTCCTCGATGTCACTGCCTTTAATTCCCTCGTGCTCCTGTACGTAACCCCGTTAAACTCACTAGTGCACTAGCATCGTCTTGGGTGGAATTGTTCTTTGGTCTGGAGATAGAGCGTTCTTTGAGGTAAACACATTTGTTCTCATGGCCCCAGGAAAGGTCACTGTGTGTTCACTCGCTACCTACTTATCTGCAGGTAACAGAACAATGTAGACTCTGCAGCATGCCACCCTAGGTCCCTGGAACAGGTTTGCGAGGCTTTAGATTCTGGTCTATAGAAATGAGCACTCTCAAGACACCACAATGTTTCTTCACAAACCAAAGCTGAATAAACAGAGTTCTTATTCTCCTGAAATATGAGGGAAATTTGTCATTTTCATAGCAAACTCAATAAATAACTTAGTTTTTATTTAATTCATTGAGAAGCTTGATGAAACCATTTATTTCAGTAGAATAAAACAATCAGCAGCATGAAAGAATAAAGTGCTACATAAACTCCAAACATACAGAAGATTTGGAAGGCTCATGGGCTCACACCTCTACAAGCGAAACAGGCACATTTTCAAGCATGCTATTTTAACTACCTTGATGTGCAGTCATATGCTATGCTGGTCAGTGAAGAAGCCGTGAGTTCTGAAATCTGAGAACTAGAGAAACAGGAATCCTAAGACTGTGCCTAGCAGTGTCTACATGGTTTGGGCCATATGCTGGACTAAGGGCTAAACCGAGGCTTTAACAATGGAGGCTCTTCATTGATTCCAAGGTGGGGGTGGGAAGACAATTTTTAGATAGCATTATGGGTGGGAAGCAAACTGTACCACTTTGATGTGTGTATCAGGTGCTCAAAAATGCCAACACGCATACGGAGGTAGCCAGTTAGCAACAGTGAGGGGAGAATAGATGAGATCACAAAGCAACCTCAGTGCTTAGCAGAGGCGCCCACGGAAGATACAGCAAGATCACAGAGCTGCGAAAGCTACCAGTCTGACTGAGGGAAGACTGCTCTAGCGCACGGGCCGCCTCAGCACAGGGTGATGGTGCAGGGTTTCTCTCCTCAGGGGGAAGAGGCCACCCAGGCTTCCTCTGGGTTACTGGCTTCTAGGAGACCACTGACCCAATCAATGTTTTTCATATTTGGTATTATAAACTAAGACCTCAAAATATATTTTTCACAGCAAGAAAATTTTAAAAAATGGTAACCTTGCTGTCATGAGGTGGTCACAACATTCTTGGGCTTTTTAGACTTTAAACTTTAATAATTTAACTAACTACAGCATAAGGACCTGGCTACCAAATAAAAATGGAAATTAGGTTCAATAGTTAACAGACCCAAAATCATAACAGAAGTAAAAATTAAACTCATCTCTAAAATGATTTTGTATGCTTTTTCTATCTTACTCATGATTGCATTTAGTTAAAACCACATAGACTTTATAACTACACCCTGACACATATTTTTTTTTTTTTTTTTTGGTTTTTCGAGACAGAGTTTCTCTGTGTTGCTTTGGAGCCTGTCCTGGAACTAGCTCTTGTAGACCAGGCTGGCTCGAACACAGAGATCCACCTGCCTCTGCCTCCTGAGTGCTGGGATTAAAGGCATGCGCCGCCACCACCTGGCTCTGACACATACTTAAAATGTATATGAGCTACTAACCTTTGTGGATTGACCTAGAACCCAGATACCATTTATATTGTCTTTAAGAAACAAAAAAAAAGCTTATAAATGGGCATGATATATTTAAAAGCTGGGGACTACCTATATTTTCCAGTTAAATCAGCAATACAGGCCCCTCAAGAGCTCCCTCAAGATTGCTGAAGGAACATGCCCAAGGCAATCCTGCCTTAAGTGGCCTCACTGGCATGACAAATTCCATGTCAGCATCTGGGGAACTGACTGGCACTAAGGGACAGATCAACTTTTCCATTGAAATCTTTCTTGGGTTTTGATTAGTGAACAATTCTAAATAAAAGTTGGTTTGTTTTTAATCCTTCTACCACTATTACTTGGGCCCTGAGATTTTCTATTAATATTTGAATATTATGCATATTCCTAGAATTTAAAGCTATAGTGACTACAGAGCTGGGCATATAACTCACATCAGGTACAAATGAAAGCAGAGCAAAGAGTCAAACTTTATGATGTCCTCACCTAATGTGAGGAAATTCAAAACTAAAGAAAATTCAAACTATTTCTTGGCATGGACCTTTTTAAACACCTGTTTTCATCTGTGTGCACACTGGAGGTGATGACAGCACATCAAAGTGACTACAACGCCTTTCCTCTTCAAGTAATATCCAAAAACAAAAATATAACGAAGATCTTTTATAAATGTCTGAAATAAAATTATTCTCACTGAACAAAGTTTCAAATACAAAGATCACAGAATGGGCAATCCCAGTCTCCTATTATGATGCTTTTCAAGAAGCTAGTGAGCACTGTGCCCTCCCCTGCCGTTCTTCATCCCCTTTTCTACATAACTAGAGAGGGTACTCAGTAAGTGATACTGAGTAACCAGTAATACTCGGGATGTGAAAACACCACCTTTTATCTGAAAACTCCAAAGGACTACATAGAAAAGAATTGCAAATCCATGGGAAAGCAGCTTGGGTGTGAGCAATCACAATAAGTTATTTTGTTTGTGAAGTAGATTAAATAGACAAGGAACTATGGCTTCCAGTCCCTTAATCTAAGCAGGACAAACTGTTGGGACACGGCCTGAATGTTTACCTATAGCACAAAGAATTTATAACAATAAAAAAGTAATGAAGGGTAAATACAAAATAACATTTTGTAAACAATCCTTAGGTTATACCCAATGCAGAATGTTTAATGAAGCAACTGAGTCTCGGCTCTTAAGTCACAAACCAGCATTATAACTCAAAGTCAAATATGTACTCATTGGCCAGATATATCCGCCGGAATATAAGAGCTGCCAGTGCCAAAGTCAGGATGACGATGAGCACGGCAGACCCGCCATGCTCAGTATGGTTGGCTCTTGGCGGCTGGCCTTGGATCACGTCGGGGGAAGTGGACCTTCTCTGACTCTGCTGCTGGGCCCGGCGCTGTCGAGGGCTCATGGAGGTATTCTTAGGAGCTGGCTGGGCAGGTTGTGGCAAGGGTGCTCCAGATGGATTCTGGGTTCCATACTAGAAAACGGTAAAAAAATCTGTTTGAAATTGACCAAAAAAAAAAAAAATTGTACATGCGCTCATTAACAGTTTAAGGATATATTAAATATGACAAAGCCAAGAAAATGCTGAGACTAGGTATCAACTCTGAAGAATATGCCAGAAACATGGGTTATCTTGAGCCCTCATGAGGGGGAGGAGACTGTTTATCAGGAGACACAGACGCTGCTGTGTCTCTCCAGATGGTGGATACAACAGCAGTTTCTGCCAAGCATCTGGGTACTGCTCTTCTTTCAGAAGACTCAAGGAGAGAAGCAATCTTTTCCACTTTCAACTTGAGAGCTGCCCATTACAAAGAGTAGGAAGACTGTAACTCCAAGTCATCTACCTTTGATAAACCTGACCTCTTCAGTATTACCTTACCATGTCGACATACACCATCAACCATAGTAAGGAAATAAACCACACATCTTCATATTGCTATTGTAAAAATGTGCTTGTTTTCAAACTCAGCATAGCCTTTCCCACAATCCCAGACAAGGGAGCTAAACACAAGTATAAGAGCATCTTTAACACAGTGCTGATGTGCCACGTTGTCAGGAGTGCCTCAAGAACCTGAGTACCTCAGCTGTGCTGCTTTGTACAGCATGTTCCCCCAAAGCACTGGCTACGGCATCTCTGCTGACCTCAGTGACTGCTCAGCCAGGGGACAATTATGTGACACAAGGGTTTCAAAATCTTAAATTTGCCTCAGAGATAATACAACTGGCAATACCACATTCAAAGAAGCCACACAATGTATGGACTATACTCAGACTCCTTAACCTGCTTGACTGCATCAATGCCTTTTAACACATTCACTGAGAGTAGCTGTTACCACTAGAACTTATTTTTTCAGACAAGAAATAAGAATGAATGTTTTACTCGGAATAAAATGAATTAAATACAAGGTATTTCAAACACTTTCCAATAGGGAAAACGTAAACACTTAAAAGAATCAAATAATATAACCCCAATTCTTTTTTTAATCATTAAGAGTATAAGTTTTGTACTGGCAACAACTCTAACAGGAGGGGAAACTACTGGTCTGAGTTATTTGCAGAATTTCCATTTGAAAGCCGACATCCACTTTCACATTATGAAGTGCTAGCTGAGTGTGGTAGCTCCCGCCTGTAAAAGCAGCACTGAGTGTGAAGACGAAAGATAGTGAACTCAAGGCCAGCTTGGGTTACCTCAAAATACAAAGGTGTGGGGATGCCCCGTAGTGGTAGAGTAGTTTCTTAGCATCCACAAAAACCTGGGTTTGATCCCTAGGATAGGAAAAAAGCTTAGATAATCTGAATTTCTTAAAACTGTTCTTTGTAGTTTCTTAAATGTTCTTAAAATTATTCTTTGTATTTCTTAAATGTTCTTAGTTAACCCATAATACAGAGTTATAAAGAAACTACTAGTGAGTTTGAGCTTAAAGTAGTTCCAATGCTGAATTAAAAGCTGCATAAACTTGGACTTGTACAATCTAGGGCTCCAAGGGACAATCTGCCCACGAAGAGTGCAGACACATAAAACTCAATGTTGCATGGTGACATGTCATCACAAACGCCACACAGTAAGTTAACCAATATTCAATGAGTGAACTGAGTTACAGCAGCCAACAGAGAAGCATTACAGTCTAACTTCTGCATCCTTCTGACACTCAGCTAAGAGCATAAATGTATTCAGTAGACCTAAGAACTAAGGCCTAAAGAGAACAAACAGCTGGTAACCCAGCTAGCCTTGAATATATGATCCTCTTGCCTCAGCCTCCCCCAGTGCAAAGAGTGTAGGTATGCACCACCATACCCAGCAACGAACAGGTTTTTTTGGAGACAGTGTTTCTCTCTGTTGTCCTGGCTGTCCTAGAACTCACTCTGTAGACCAGGCTGGCCTTGAACTCAGAGATCTGCCTGCCTCTGTCTCCCAAGTGTTGGGATAAAGGTGTAAGGAACAGGTTAAGGAAAAAAAGACAATGACAATATCACTATAGCCTAAGAGACTCACTCATACTATAGCCTAAGAGACTGACGCATACTAACATTTTTACTGACTTATTTTTTCCTTAGTTTGAGGGAAGATTATCTTGCCCATAAAACTAACAAAATAGATTACAATGGTTATATAACAATTATAACAATTAAAAGCCTTTATTTCTAGTCTGGCTTTGTCTAGTAGATATGCGTTCCTAAGCCAATTATTTAACCTAGGTCTCAGCTCCCTCATCTGTACAATGACAATAATGTTCAATTCAGCAGCTGTACGGATTAAATGGATTAACGATATAAAGTGCTTAAACACAATTACTTAGTAAGTGTTAATCACTATTAATATTATTACTATTAACATATCCTTTTGGAGGCATCCAGATTTCAGTTCAAAAATTAAATTGTAAATTTACTTAGAATAGTTTTTAGCCTCCTTATTAGTATGATTAATATATTTAGAAAACAATCATTAAAACATGATTGTATTCTGAGCACTTGGAGGCTGAGGCAAAGGATTGGTAAATTTCAGGACTACATAGCACGACATGTCTTTTAAAGAAAAAAAACACTCTAAATGGCTCCAGGCACACAAGACTCTAGGTTTGATCCCTGGTATTACAAAATTAATTAATCAATTGATGCCAAATATTTTAATACATGTGCTTTAGCAAAAATGCTTATATGTTTTATTTAGGTTTCTGTATTTCAGATACCTTTTGGGCAGTGACCATTGGCTAAATACTGATGAAATGCTAAAATTTTTCCTATCTAAATAATTATAGTCATAATTATAGTCATATAGTCAGTGAGTAAATTTGTTTGCCTTTTATATTAAACAGAATGCTTTACTATGGTGTGCATGTACATGATGTATGTGGGTGCAGGTTCCACGGTACACTTGTGGAGGTCAGAGGACAACGTAACGAAGTCGGTCCTTTCTACCTTTACGTAGCTCCAGGGACTGAATTCAGGTTGCCAGACTTGTGTGCCAAATACCTTTACCCACTGGGCCATCCCACCAGCCCTGGGATGCTTTTTAATATAAAATAGAACAGCTTACTCAAACTTCAGTACTTGGGATCGCAGAACTGATAGACTGAGGAATGTAAGCTGCTATCAGGTATTTTTCCTAGACCACTTACTGTAAGTCATAGACATAGTAACTAAAGTAAGTGTAACTGGAAAGTGTTACAAGACACCTGGCAGGGGATTTAAAGCATACTGATATGCCATTTTCCTCCCTGAAAGAAAACTCTAAACTATTTCATCCCACTTATTACAGATCATTCTTCATTTTCAATTTTCTAACCTTTGAGTCCTTTAGGGCCATGTGAGATGACTTAGTGCATAAAGGTGCCGCCGCCAAGCCTGGTGACCTAAGTTCAGTGCCAGGTCCACATGGCAGAAGAGAACTAATTAGCACAAGTTGTCCTCTGCCCTCTATACATACATAATGGCATATGCACACCTCCCTCAATAAATCAATAAACGTCTTCTATAAGCCAGACGGGGAAACATAAGATGTGGTTACCTAGTCAAATAATCTTTAACAAAACTGATTCCAAGAGAGGTAAGTTCATCGTGTATACATGTTAAGTCAAGCCACTTTTCCCTCATAATCCTCATTATTTAGCACCAATCCAATAATATTCTTAATCAGTAATACTCTGATCACCTGTGCTGACCCACTGTTTAAAGCAACAGGTCAGGGTAGAGCTATGTCTCCCATAAGACACATTCATTCTTTCATCTAACAATTCCTGCCACTTACTGCACACAAGGCAGTGTTCAACAGGGCTGCGTGCGTAGAGTTTAAGTTCTGCATCTACGCTTCTAAACAGAGCTGCCAACCACATGCTACGGCATGCCTAGGACTTGCTAGTGTGCCTGAGGGCCAACACTGCTGACTTCAATAAACCGTCACTGAATTTAAACTTAGATAGCCATGTGTGGCCAGAGGACAGGTAGAACTACCCCAAGGCAAGGCAGCACCTCCCATCTATAAGATGCATGCTAACATGCATGCTTTATGTAGGCTAGCATTATGTAAAGAAGCATCCTGAATGACAAAAGGACTTAGAAACTATCTCATCCATCACCACTTAACAAAAAAACTAAAGTCCAGAAAGATGTATTTAGAACAACATTATTAGTGGGGCAGTTGGGCTACAATTCTACTACTAATAAAACATTTTCAGTATTTGATCTAGAAGAATCTTACCTTACTCCAAACAAATGTGTGTTTGTACGCATGTAGGGTGTGTGTATGCTTGTGTGTAGGGTATATAGGATGTGTGTGTGTGTGGTGTGTGTGTATGTGTGAGTGTGTGATGTGTGTATGTGGTGTGTGTGTGGTGTGTGCAGTGTGTATATGTGATGTGTGTATATGTATGTATACGGTATATGTACGCGGTGTGATGTGTGTGTGTGTGTATTTGGTATGTGTATGTGGTGTGTGTGCATGTGTGTGTGTGTATGTGGTGTGTGTGCATGTCTGTGTGTGGTATGTGTATGTGGTGTGTGTGCGGTGTGTACGTGGTGTGGTGTGTATACATGTGTGTGTGTGTGTGTGTGTGTGTGTGTGTGTGTATTAAAGGACAAGAGCCATACCGATGTGCCGGCTGTAGCACCCTGGAATGTTGTAGGTAAATCGTCTTGTGAACCATTTAGTGAAAAAGAGTGGTTTAAGTCTGATTCAGCGATAGTCTTTCCAGATGAATTGACTTCGGCCTATAAATAAGATATACCCAAGAGCAGTGTTAGAAGAAGAAATATATCAGCAATCAACTACTCCCTCTGCTGGGTTACCCACATTGCTCCTTTCATATGAGCTGTATCACCAGTTTGCTAGCTTTGGGCCATCTGCACCTGCTATATGCCAGGTCTGACAGGAAGGGCACAAGACAGCCTGCATTCTCAGCGGCTGCTACCTGCTGAGAGCAATGCTATGGTTCCCAACCTACAATTCCAAGAATCCCACAAACTAAAGCTTTGGGGTGACTTTTAGATAAAAGTCTGACGTAACTATGTGAGGCTAGCTTGGGCTTTCTCCAACAATAGTAAACAGTCCCAGGTTGACCTAATTACTGTAACTACTCAAATAAGCTGGATGTATTTATTTCCTCAATCTGAAAAATCACAATATTCAAAACGGGAAAGATTTTAGGTGTAGTAGAAATTCAGGGAAGATCTTTATACTTCCTCTTCTAGGAATTACGATAAAACTGAAAGAAAAACCCAAGAACTGAACCCAGGAGCACAGAGGGCAGAAAGGCAGGTCAGAGGGAGAAGGCAGCATATGCTTAATATGGGTTAATTAAATTCCAGAAACACAGTGCATTTACTCGAAGTATTAAAAGATGATATAAATTTTATATTTGGGTAAAATACGTAGAAAATTAGAAATATCCTGAAATATTAACAGCGGTTAATCTCGGAGGTGAGGTTACCTACTTTGTCCAAAAAGAACAAGAAATAGGATAGAATTTTGCGGGTGAACTGAGGGCAGGGTAGTGGTGAGGACAGAGTACTGGGAGAGACAAATGGAGCTGGGGGCATTTCAGGGTCGATGTAAAAACGTAATGCAGTGGAAACTTCCTGGAATTTATAAGGGTGATTCTAGTGAGTGCACCTAGTAATGGGGGATACTAAGCCTGACTGGCCATCCTCTATAACCACGCAAGACTTCTAATAGTGGCTCTGGGACTTCAACCCAGACACAAAACCTTCCACCTCCTATTTGTTCTGCCCACAAGGTGTGCTGGGCTAATGGTGGTGCAGTACTAGTGAGAGTGTTCAACCAATGACTGGTCCAACTGGAGGCCCAAAAAAGGGACCACACCCCTGACTCTGCCTGGATGGCCAGGAAGCAGAGGCTGGACAGCCCAGAGACCTAGGATAGAACCAAACAGGACTAGCAAAGATAGATAGATAGATAGATAGATAGATAGATAGATAGATAGATAGA